CTGAATATGATACTATTTCAAAAAATAACTGGAAAACTTAAGACTTTCTTTTTTATGGTACTATTTTAAATTTAGAATGGTAATTTTGCACTAAAATAATATTTAGTATAAATAATGTTTGGATAAGCATAGTGATTTGCCTTAATAATAAATATTTCTATTCTGGATTCAATATTACATTTTAACCTAACAGATAAATCATAATTATATCCTGGCCTTCATAGAATGTAGCTTCACAGGAAGTAAAATACACACACATACATGCACATAGCCACACACACTTACACACCTCCACAAAGCAAAGAGTAATTTTGTACAAAAGAGCCAGGAAAAATAACAGCTTAAACAGTGGTTGCTATTTTCCTTGACACTAGACTTTCAATATTTGCAATTGTTCTGAGTGGGCGAAAAAGAGTCCTCCTATTACTTTCTTCTACTTAACATGAGCAAGAAGTTGCTGTCCTAGCAGGTCCAAATCTTAGCCTGTCTAGACCTGAAAGGTTTGAATATCCCAATTGGGCAGCCAGTCTCCAGACATTATGAAAAACAGAAGAAAAGAAAATCCTTGTGGTATTTCTCTTGGAACCATACAAAAACTAAGGAAGCACATACATTGAGTATCAAAATGAACGACTGGCATGAAACACTGGGATAAGTGGGATAAAAATATATTAAACACAAAATGGAATCTTGACCGAAAGAAAAATACAGTATGATGTTACAACCAAGAATACCATGTTTACCTAAGAAGAAACGTGAAATCCAGGCAAACACTGAAATTAGGTTTTGCTGGAAATATCTCCAACACTATCACAGAAGCCCATTTTGTTGTGGCTAAAAACATGAATCAAGCTGTGTGTTCAGGGTCTCAGACCACCCATCCACTGGGGCTGTGCTCTGTACTGCAATGCCATTTCGATGTCTGATTGTATTGGCAAATAGGTGGAGGCTTTTGGGCTGCGATGAAGTGGACTTGAGCAAAGCACGAGCTCTATAATGCTGGGGAGGACTTTGAAGTCAGACACGCCTTGAGGCCCATGACCGCAGACCAATTTTCTCTAGTGCCACTGAGGGAGTACAGGTCAGCATAGCTTACTGGCCTGGTCCTGCGGTGGAAGGAGGGAGGGAGTGGGGGTGGCAGGATCCAAGTGGAGACCCCACAGAAGGGAGCTGAGACCTACCCTAGCTGTCACTAGAAGGCAAAAAGGTGTGAAAAGTGAAAGACCCTGCAAAGTTGGATGGATTTTAAGGGAAGGCATCAGGACTACAGAATGGAAAGGAGAAAAAAGGGAAGTAGGAAAAAAAACATAGAAAGCAGAACTTGGCTTTATATTAATGATACTTATTAAAACATTTTTAATGCAATGCATTTCTGAGAATACATATAGATAAAATGACTTGGAAAAAAGTAGTGCAGTTGCCTTTGATTCATTTAGCCTAAGGACGATCTCTGTCCAAACACTGCTGCTGCCATCAAATCCCAGATCAAGGCATGGACTTACAGCTACCGCGCACCTGTCTGTATCCGGGACAACCAGTTCAACAAATAAACCTCAGCCAGGATCTAATATGCGGCCACCAAGACATCTCCATTGTGGCATATGGGGGCACTCACAAGGCTCTTGGCACAAACTTTTTTTTTAGTTAACTCAATAATTTATTGTATTTTGATGACATCAAATCCTAAATCTAAACTCAATTGTTATTTTTATTAAGATCAAAATTTAACTTTTTTTTTTTAGACAGGGTCTTTCTATGTAGTTTGGGCTGGCCTTCAACTATGTAGCCGAGACTGGCCTCAAACTTGTGGTGATCCTCCTGCCTCAGCCTCCTGAGTGCTGGGATTGCAGGTATGTGCTACCGAAAAAACTATGTAGCTTTGAGGAAGTATTTTAATCTTTTTTTTTTTTTGGTACCAGGGATTGAACTCGGGACCTTGCGCTTGAGAGGCAGGCGTGGTGTCACTGAGCTACATCCCCGGCCCCATATTTTTTTTTGAGACAGGGTGGTCTCACTATGTAGTTCATGCTGGCCTGGAACTCTGCATGTTGCCCAGGCTGGCCTCGGACTTGCCTCACCCTCCTGAGTGCTGGAATCACAGGCATGCATCACCATGCCCAGCCATTTCGGCAGATTGGTACATGCCCATAACATACTTTAAACATTTCCCTCCCATTATCTCCCTTGTTTACTGCATATAAACACAGTGGTCTGAGATCATTTGGGATATGATTCAAATAATACTGCAAATGACACAACAGGCATGGCCATGGATAAGAGCTGATGTTCTTTTTTTTTGGTACTAGGGATCAAACTCAGGTCCTTACACTTGCGAGGCAGGCGGTGGACCACTGACCTAAATCCCCAGCCCTAGAGCTGATGTTCTTAATAACACTTTAGTTGTTAAAACGAAAAGGTTCATTTTTTTTTTTTTTTCTTGGTATCGGGGATCAAACTCAGGACTTTGCGCTTACGAGGCAGGCAGCATAACCACTGAGCTAAATCCCCGGCACTCAATTTTGTTAAATATCAGCTGGTCATGACATTAGTGACAAACTATTTTTTTTTTTTTTTGGTACTGAGGATTGAACTCAGGACCTTGCTCTTACGAGGCAGGCAGCAGAACCACTGAGCTAAATCCCTGGCCCTAGTGACAAACTAATGTAAAGATGTTTTTACATCAAGTACTCAAAACGATAACAAAAAAGAGTGGTCAAAATGCAAGATGAACCTGCAGAAGTGTCCTGTGATTAACTCCAAAAAACTGAAAGCAACTATACAAGTAGGAGTACATGGCCACACAGTTGAGGCCAATGATTCCTGGATTATGATTATTCCTGCAGTTTATTATGGATCGACAGTGTGACAATAATGCTGACAAAAATGAGTGGGTCCTGGGGCCTTGAGTGCAGAAGGGCCCTGGCCAGGTCACTGGTGGAGGGGGCCATGCTTCAGTGTAGGTCTCTTCTTCCATCTAACAATAGTAGCATCCTCATATGCTACCAACACCATCACAAGGGGATGAGAATTTGATGCAAGCTACTGACTTTGTGTACAAATAAAGCACATTCCCAAACGTTTATAATTCATAAAGTCTCTGTGATGGGATCCTCCATCGACTTCCAGTTGAGGTTTCTTTCAGAGTAACCATAAGCTTCCTGAGTCAAGATGCACCCTAACCCATCCCTGCCGTGGCAATGCTGCAGGGCACCCAGGGGAAGCTCAGTGTTTAGATAATGAATTTGATCTGGGACAAAGACTGATGATCTGAATCACATCGACTAGAGGGAGTCAGGGAAGGACAGGTGAGTTCCACTGCCCTGGTGCTTGGCAGGTGCCCATTCCCCATGCAGCAGCCATGCTGACTGAGTCCAGGGACTCCTCCGGGACTCTGCCTTTGCAGTTCAGTACCAGGCTGGCATGCGCTGGTGGAACCTACAGCTGAACTACTAACGCCACACTGGAAGGATCTTTCCTCTGCCCTGCTGAATAAAACTTGTAAGAAAAGGTCATTTAATAGTTCAACAGAAGACCATATGAGCATCCTCACAAGTGGGAAATGGGTTGAGCTACAGTGATCTGAGTATCTTGTTGGATCCAAATCACACATGGGGTGCCTATGAGGTCATCCACATGAGATCAGCCAAGAAAGCACTCCTGTTTCAGACTATTTTTAGCAGAAAGAACAAAACCAGTATCGCACAATGTGACTATAAGTTGAATGGGCAGGAGAATTTCAATACGTATTTATGCTGTGTAAGTAGATTTGAGAACATTACTGTGAGTAGTTAGTGGAAAAGATACTAATGTGAATTCAACAATTTAGCCTTGAGGACTCTATCAGCCAGAGAAATAGATCCTCTACAATATTTTTAAAAACCTAGTAACTTCTTCTCTGTAGTTTATTTGAAATGCTGGGGATTTTTTTTGCCCAACTATGTATGACAGAAGCAAAGTCTACAAAGTAACATTTGCAAAAAAGTCATTGGTTTGCTTTGTCATAAGTCAAGATTTCTTATGTTTACTTAAATACTGTGAAATAGTAATTTTTTGGGGGTTACTGGGGATTGAATTCTGGAACTTGGGCTTGCAAGGTGTGAAATAGTAATTTGATAAGAAAAATAATTATTTTTTGACCCAACCTACAAATGAACACTAAGAAAGCAACTTTTCTCCTCAGATCTGGACATGCACTTTTCCTTGAAAAATTCTACTGTAGAAATCCTATAGAAATGCAAAGACAGCCACTAGTTTAAGTGAATTAAGTGTATTATATAAGTTGAAATTAAATTCAAAGTAGTCATCCTTCTGACATTATAAAAACTCACTTTTATACTGTTTAAATCTTTTCATATTCTCATTTCTTACTTAAGTTTAAAATTCAGAACCTGCTTTGAAAATTACTTAGCATTAAACTTAAAGATGAGAGAATTTTCAACATGTGTACAAACAAGAAATGGTGGTTAAATTTTTTTTTCTTATCTTAAAACTGAACTGGTCATATGGATCACGTGGCCCAACATACTCAGATTCTTGAGGCAGATACCCAAAGAGTTCAAGTATCTTACCAGCAAACAGCCAGTAGGGGTTACAGAATTCCGAATTCCTACTTTACACTAGAACAAATTTTATTTTTTTAAGGCTTCTCGCCGTCCCCCTTTCTTTAGACTCCGGGTCTCGCTATGTAGCCCACCCTGGCCTCCAATTCCTGGGCTCAAGAGATCCTTCTGCTTTAGCCTCCCAAATAGTTGAGGCTGTGGGTGTGAGTTAGAGGCTGGCCCACTAGACTGAAATTTAAAGTCACCAATAACATTGTCAAAATTTTCTAAGGTGTTAAGGTAAAGAAGTTCAGGTCAAAAATTTATTTCCCACATGTATCAGCCATTGGCTGACGTGCCATCCCCCGCTGGGTGACCTGTCTCATCCTCAGACTGCATCACTGATGCTGGACGGACACAGCCACGCCATCTTCCCAAAATGGACAGGAAGAACTACTTCACCTTGGGGTTAGGGTGGCGGCCGATGACCAGGCGAACGGGTCCCGGAGGGCACTTGCTCAAGATGGAGTGCACTTTGCTTAGAGCAGCATGGCGAACATTGACGGAGTTCACTTCTAGGATTTGGTCTCCACGGCTAGAGGGCGACAATCAATACTCTGTGTAACAGTCAGCCTTCAAAAGCTAAGAAAGCTCTTGTGGGGGAGATTTTTAATGTGAAATCTTTTCTGAATAATTTAAAGAAGCAAATGACATCCTTTCCTGACATGAAAAAGCAACACACTCATCTATAAACACATTGGGGTTTGAATTGGCTGTCTTTTATCTCTATCAACTGGCACTTTTAGAAGATAAACCTGAAGGCTACCGTTTCTTGAGCACATACTGTATGCCAGACCTCTGTACAAGATAATTTAAATAATGTTTCTAACAGGAATAACTATTTCCTCATTATGTAGCTGGGGCCACAGGCTCAGAGAGGTCACCTGGATGCCACACACTGTTAAACTAATGCAAGTCTGTCGGACTTGATCATCATGTGACAGCCCCTCCACCCCCATCAGTTTCTTCGTTCTTCCTACCATCTTGAAATGGTTATTTAATATAATTTAAAGAGGAAATATCTGAAAACTCAAAGGTTACCCAAGAATTTGTAAAAATGTTTCAAATTTGAACAAATGAGAAACTGGGGACAAGTTGCCCATTTTGACTTGAAATTATAGGGAGAGAACTCAATAGGAGAGAACAAAGACTCTTTACATGGGGCCTGAAGAATGTTCATTTGGCAGGCTCCAGACATATGGAACCATTCAAGAAGAAACATCATCTTGAGATATCATTAAAAGTTATTTTTTTCCTTGGGTTCTAAAAGTATATTTTCTTTAATGTACTCTTGGATGATTTGCTCAGGTTTTTTTTCATATGGAAATTCACTCTGATGATTAACTAGGACTGTAGTATAATCTATAAACAGGGTCCCCAAATGGCAACCTCAACGAAAGCCATTTTGACAATATTTCAACGCTGGAGGACTTAGATGCTTCTGGGGGAAAGGTGATACTGTTTGTACAGTGCTTGGTATGATGTGGGCACATTCTTGTGAAGTTCAGGTGGGCACCGACTCACTGCAGTTACTAGACGTCTCTTCTATAAACAGAATACTCATGATATAATGCAGTTATCTGCACTGAGAAATCAGATGCTCTGGTATTTCAGACAACAGGCACCTGGACATCCCCATCAAATAGCATGAAAGCAATGGAAAAGGTCAAGAAATGATACCGAATAAGAAAAGCCTCCTATTCAAGGCCTGATTTCAGGACTCTTTTGCAACCAGTGATTCTGAACCACACGAACAGTTCCACTATCTCATATGAATTTTGTATAAATTAATATAAAAGACTATATTGAAATGATCAGATATTTGTGCATTATACTTTGTCAAAACTATGAAACTGAACTTCTGAGTCCAAATAAAACCAAACAGGTAGGGACGCCAATACCTACAGTTCTCTGATTCAACCAAATTTTATTTACATGAGCTTCTTGCCTTTGGAAACACTAATACTTGTAATTTTGGCTGTTTTACTGCACATAATTCAAAGATGTAAATTCCATGAAGGATATAACAGAGCTGATACGTATGTATGTGTTCACATATTCAAGATGATACCAGAGCCCCATTATGTGAAGGATCCAACCAACCTCAGGTTACTCTCCATCTTGGCCACGGATCCCGGTGCCAGGCTGTGGATGTAGATGCCTGGGGGACAGTTTTCCAAAGCCAAGCAGCAGGCACCAATGCCTAGTCCAACCCTTGGCTCTGTGAGGCAGGATGCAAAGAAAACAGCAAAAATTACATAGTAACCAGAAGAGAAGCAGAATAAATTTGAGACTATACATTCACATTGATAAGCATTTCGTTTAGGTCCTGACTCAGAATGTATTTCTGCTTTTCTTTCTCAACATTGCTATATTCCAGGGGCTGGGGATGGAGCTCAGTGGTGTCGTGCCTGCCTGGCAAGTGCAAGGTCCTGAGTTCGATCCCCGGGACCACAACCATAACCACAACCACAACCACAACCACAACAACCCCCAAACATTGCTATGTGTTAATGAAATGAGTCCATGGCTGAACCAGGGAGTCACCATGGGCCGTGAATTATTTAGTTATCCACTCTCTTCTTAGTCTAAAGAGCATCCTCAAATGTGTTTCTGGAAATATGTAGAGTAGTATAAGGAATGTTTTTATTTTGGGTATACAAACTTTTAGGCTTTTTCGACCTTTCTTTTTAATTACTAATTTCTTAGTTGTTGATCATATTTTCACAGTGGGTGGCAAGGAAAAACAAATATGACTAGCCATGACTTTAGTTATCGGTATTAACTGTATTTTTTTTTAATTTGTTTTTTTGGTACTGGGGATCGAACTCAGGACCTTGAGCTTGCAAGGCTGGCGGCAGAACCACTGAGCTAAATCTCCACCCCTTAACTGTATACTTACTTATATTCTTTAATTCTTCACAATTTTGTATGAGTCCTAGAATAAAGGCACTCAGTGATTTTTTTAAGCACGAGTCTTTGCCACACAACGACTCAGGCAGGGAGAGCTTGAAGACGTCTCTGCTACCGGTAACTTCCCCTCACATTTGTAAAATGACTAAAACCTGTACTGTTGACCCCACTGTCCATTTACAGAACGCCATCTGTTGGTGACAGCAGATGGTTCCAAAGGAACAATTCTAAGAAAAACTGAGAAACAATTAACCTAAGAACAGATTTCAAGAAATGAGGAAGAGCTCAGATCACCTTTGTTGAGTGTGACTTCCATGACGATTCTGTCCTTGGGCCCCGGGGCCTTGCGTCCCGCAGTGGAGGAGGAGCTGCCTTCCTCAGAGCCTCCCGCTGAGGTCCCCCCACTGCTGTTGAAGTTTGGAGAGCTAGATCTGCTCATGTGTGTGGGGGTCGAGCAGGGCGTGAGGCTGGGGCTCAGTAACTTGGTGCGAACCGTTAAGACAAACAGCCCGCTCCGGATTTGCTTTGAAAACAAGAGGAAAGTGGGCTAAGTGTCCTTACAAAGTGGGAAAAAGATCTCGTGAAACCCACACCAGAAGGAAACAGAGGAAGAAAAACAAGAGGGTAAGAGAGTTCAGTAAGAATGCTGTTACCTTAAAGGTATGAATGGCTTCTTGAAACGTCAAGCCCTTTATTGGTATTCCATTTACATCTAGGATTTCATCCCCTGGTGACCAAATATGAGAATTACATTAACATTAAGCTTTAATATACTGGAAGTCAACTGCTTAGTTAGTACTAGAATAAGATATGATATGGTCCCTGATTTACTGCTACATAAAGTGACTTTTATTGTTTCAGTTCACTTTCGTAAGCCTAGCTGCCAGCAATGTCACAAAATGGGGCAATTAATTAAAATGCATGCTTTTTGTAATCAAAATATTTTGTAATTAAAACAACTAGGAGAAGCATTATTCTTTAACCATTGACAAGTGCAATAGTAGATATCCTGTGTTTAGAGACTGAACTGCAAATATCAAGTTCTAAGGCTTTCCTCCCAGTCACTGTTTAAAAACTTAAAACCACTGGGAATGAAGCACGAACTCATAAGACATCTGAGAAGCCACTGCTATATTTGTAGAAAGACCAGATTTCTAGAGAATCATCGTGGTGTACAGAAAATAGTTTTGATGATAAAGAAAAAAAAAACTTGCTGGGATATTATTAAGCCCCACCTCTGAAATAGTCTCGATGTCTGGTCTTACTGATGTGGGGCCAGGTTGTGCAGCGTTAGGTTAGTGTGCTTCTGTCTCAGAGATTACTGTCGGGTAACGCCAAGCCGTTCAGGGCAATGCCAAATTGCGAGGCATGCGCACACATGCTTGCTTACCTCCTGCCCCCCCGCCCCATAGCCTGTCATCTTCAACCCTAAGAGGATACAGTCAGCTCACTTTTCAAGCTGTTGATAATGTCTGCTAGGAAAATAAAAGAACTTAAACATTCTGGTGACTTGTAAGAAACTCATTTCTGGTTTTCACTCTTGTGACACAGGCTTTTTTAAAAAATAACAGTTCATCACCAACACTACAGAGATGCCCCAGAGAGAAGAACAGATGAACTTTGCACAATGGTGTAGTTAGGGAAAGAGACATCCTACACTCACAAAGAGCAAAGCAGCATAAGAAGACACACATTTTCACCTCTTGCAGACAGACAATCCCAGCAGCACACAGTGTATTTGATGAAAGGAATCCTGTAAGGCAGTTTCCAAAAGGTAGGGGTGCCCCATGCACTTGGGGGTGCCTTCTAATGCAACCACCGAAGTTGTAAAATAAGTGACAATCTCTGCTTGAAAATCAGCTGGCATAACCAACTGCTCAATTATGTTTTGGGGTTGTGTCCACTTGGAAAAAGGATAGAAACATTAACATGCTTGTGTATACTCTTAAAATTTATGCAAGGTTTTTAAAAGGCATATCACTCAACAGGTTGAAAATTCATTCCAATGACTTACATTTCTCATAAATGAACACATATGAAAAAACAGTATTTAGGAGAATCAAATACTATTAACCTTTACTAACTATTGATTTTTTTTCTCTCTATTTTGCTCCATTCTACCAGCCTTGCAGGATGAATTTTAACCAAGTGAACACATGGCACATCCATTATAAAAATGCTCTGCTAGAATTTTACATTGTTCTGAAACTGGGCACAAATACCACCTGGGGTTAATCCTTCCTGTAAGACAGAAATATTCTGCCCTGAAGAGAGAAAGAAATATTCTGCCCTGAAGTATTAAGCTTACTATGTCATATTGTTAGCACCCAGGATTTGTGGTTGCTCTGGCTACAAAAATGGGACTCCAATTTACTCTTTGTCAGTTTAAGAAAATTTAATCAGTATAACTCAACAGACCCTATAGTTTGGGTCAAGTGAATTGAACAGTCACAGCATTTTTTAAGGTAACCAGAAATACAGTATTTTGACTTTAATCACTAAAAAAAAGATGTTTAAATGGGGGGTAGGGATCAAGGTTTATGCTTTGATGAATGATATTTAAAATATATTCAGAACTTATTTGTAATTTTGCTTTATAGTCTTAATCCAAATATTTCATAACAAGCATACAGATATGTAAACATATACATAAGGAGATTCTCTTTGTTGAAAGCAGCTTTATGGCTGTACGTAAAGGAAGATTTGGCCTATTCAAACTTTATTTTCTCAAGCATTATGATATATTAAAGAAGAGAGAATGACTTCCAAGACTCTGGACATCTTGTATGTAAATGAGGCAGCAGTAGTAAGGTGGGGAGAGGATCACTGGAATCAGAATACTGGGTTTGAATTTCACTGCTGCTACTTATTAGGAGCAGGACAAATTTCTAGTCACTAAACACTTCTGAGTGTCATTTTTCTTATTTGTCTTCTCTGTATCATTCCAATTTTAGTATATGTGCTGCCAAAGCAAGCTCCAGTTTCCTTATTTGTGAAACGATCACTCCAAATGCCTACTCGACAGGTTTGTAATATTGTTAATAATTTAAACATATGAAAACGCTTTGTAAATATTTACAGTGCTGTAAAATATAAGATGTATTTAAACATTAAAACATTTTATTTGCCAGATATAACTTGACATTTCAGTGTTTCTTTTATTTGCATTCAAAAGCCATTGTGTACATATTTATGTGTGACAAAATGGTAGAGGCTATGGAGAATGGAAAAAGATGCTCATTTAGGAATTAAAATACATGTTGGTTGATTTCAACAGCAAGACATTAAATGGCTAATAATGGCCAGGTCCTGTGCTTCCCCACCAGCCCTGGTGAGAGATGAGAGCAGAATGCAATATCCTTGGGAATTTTCAAAGGTAAGGAACATGATCAAGGACTAAGCAGACAAGATAAGCATTCATGTCCTCCATGAAAATATAAAACCACTTTGCACAGATTATCTCATTTAATCCTCACAACAGCTCTACAAGGTAGGCATTAATATCCCAAGTTTACAACCAAAGAGGGTGAATCTCAGCTTGTGTCACCTCTCTGAGACCATGATGAGAAGTGCGGGGCACAGTCCTGGCCCAGAGGCCCCTCAGGCTCACAGTGGCTATGCCACTTGCTTCCCATCTTATGCGGGGACAGATTCTCATGGAATCAAAGCTCAGTGTCATGGAGGACCACCATGCGGTGTTCTCCTACCTTCTTTCAGTCTTCCATCCTCTGCAGCTGACCCATTTGGGAAAATGGTCTTGACAAAAATCCCCATCTGGCCTCGAATGCAGTCTCGACCTCCGGCAATGCTAAAGCCAAGACCCTACATCCAAAGCAGATGGGAATAAGGCTGGTATTTCATTTGCAGCATTTAAGCGAAGGCACCCTTACTATGACAGTATTCGACTTCAGTGTCATTCTTAATCAGTTGTGAAGTTAAGCTATAAATTCAAGTTTGCATTCACTTCCCCGACTCCCTCTTCAGATCTATTTGTATTACATTAGCTATGGATTACATAAAGGGAAAAAGCTTTAGGTTGAAACAGGTGCCATTGTTAATATTTGACAATCTTTGTCTTCTAAGAATGGCAATTTCATGTGGATCAACTAAATAACTCCTGAGAGTCATTTTATACTATGCAGTTGCCCTATTTCTTTTTTTTAAATTTTAGTCTTTCCATTTTGTATAATTATCAATGTGGATATTTTGATATTTGTATATCAAGTTATTCCTATCGTTTCCTTTATGATAATGGCAATACCATGAAATTCACTCAACAGGATAACTGGGAGCATTCCCTGAAGCTACAGAGTCTGAGTTTTTAAAAATGGAGGTAAAAGTTAGAGGTCATGGCTTCAGTTTCCAGAAGCAAAAAAGAAAAAAAAAAAAAAATCCTGATTCCAGCACCCTAGCAGCCAGGTGCTGGGGACATCTTACATCGTAAGGGCAAGAAAATACAACTGCCTCATACTCTGAGGCCTGCAGGAAATCCACATGAAACTCACTTAATCTATCCTTCTTTATACCTATTACTTTTTCTTTCATGTGAAAATAAATCTTAAAAAAATTAACCATTTAAAGGCTGGGGATGTAGCTCAGTGGCACTGTGCCTGCCTGGTAAGTGCAATGTTCTAAATTCGATTCCTGGAACCGGGAAAAAAAAATTAACCATTTAAAAAGAGCAAAATAAAGGACAGATAATAAGAAGTAAGGAGATGGAGCTTTCTCATATGGGAAGGGAATTAAGAGACAAAGTGAGAGGGGAAGGGAAGGGGAAGAGATTGAAAGAAAAACTAAGATGTGTCATGTACATGTATCAACTCCCCATAAAAATGTAATCAATATGTACTAGAAACATGTACTAATAAAAAATAAAAACTGAGAAAAAATTAACCATTAAGAAAAAAACATCTGCAGGAAAGAGCTTACCTTGCCTTTTTCTTTGTACAGCCCAATGATGGAGATAACAGATGGCCGAATGAGTCTCCAAGGAGACTCCACGTGAGTTGCACTTAGGGAGCGGGTGGACTTCTTCACGATGTGGTATTCCTAAACACCAGCACACGGTGAGGTCAGCAATACTTATTCTCATTTATCTTGTTGTGGGCTCTCGCATACAGATATGCTCGGACTTTGAAAATCTCAGTTGGCTTCTGTGTTATACAGTGATTTCCCTTCAACCCATCTCTGGTCTAGTGGCTTAAAGAAAGTTTACTATCAATACTACTGGAGCAAGAGTCCCTACTGCAATAGACTGCCATCCTTCCCCCATAAAGAAGTGTTTGGAGACCACGAAGCACTTGTGTTGCTCTTTCCTTGACCACATTCTGCATATCCTGCTGCTGGAATGGAGTCAGGAACCAGAGATCAAGAGGCCTCGAAGACATGGGATGACCACCCTGTGGTTGGGCTCTCTTTGAAAATTACCCCCAACCCCTGCCCCATCCTCAGTTCACAATCATAGTCACAAGGTATCTCACCATTTAAAGCTTCATTTTATTTATTCAAAAACTCAGCAAGCCCTTGTTTCTTATAAAATGCACACCACAAACCCAGAAAACTATTATTCCACATAAAATATCCCCCTGAGGGACAACAGCCTCTTCAGCTCTAATCCTTCACATTTGGAAAATAAAATATTTTCCCATAAGTCACACTTTCCCTTCCTGGCACACAGCAGTGCAAATCTCAATTCCCTTTTCATGTCCCTCATGTAAAATATCCCTGTGTGTTCACAGGGTGCCCTATTTATAACATAAACAAGAGATTAAGTGACTATTGCTAACGCACTCCCATAATCTAGCTCCTTGCTGTCCGTCTTAGTGTCTTAAATGATACAGATATTCTAGCACAGGCCAAAGTTTTTTCCATGTTTACTGTGAGAAAAGATACATGGCAAAATGGTTTTTACCTTTAACTCCCATCTGTTACATTCAAATGCAGAGATGAGATGTCTCCCAATGACATTTTTGTATTCCTGGCAGCTTAGAACAATTACACCGTGCAGTTTTACAGCATTATCTGCCAGCAATGTGGGGCCCCCAGACGTGGTCTCATTAAATAAACGATGTGGGCTTGGCGAGGTTACTGCCCTTTTACTGAAACCACTAGAGATGCCAGACCCAGCCCGCGGTTTCCAACTCTTGAATACAGAGGTTCGCATGTGACGCCCTTGGGGAACTCTTTCTCTGGTCAATAATCTTACTCAATCTCCCTTTTAAGAACCATTGTGGAGCAAAGGCCTGCATGCTTTCAGGTCTGAGTTTCAGTGGTCTCGCTGCTTTTCCAGACTTATGCTGCTAATATGGTAGCCATTTGCCACTAGGGGCTGTCTGTATTTAAACTGGGATGGATTAAAACTGCACTCCTCGTCTTGTTAGGCACTTCCAATATGCTCAGTAGAAACATGGCTACCATCTCGGATAGCACAGGTGAAAACCACTTTCATCTGCGCATAAAGTGTCCCTGGCTCCTCTATTCTAAGCAGTACTTTTTTTTTTTTTTTTGTACCGGGGATAGAACTTAGGTCCTTGTGCTTGCGAGACAGGGGGCAGAACCACTAAGCTAAATCCCTGGCCCTCTAAGCAGTACTTTTTAGTGGAGAGAAAGAGAACCGAAAAAAAGAAAAGTGAATCCCAGAAGAAAAAGAAAAAGGCAAGAAAATAAGATGGAAACAGGACAATTTGAAGAGGGAAAATTCTTTTCTAAAACACTCTATGCTAACCTGAGCTTCCTGATTCCCGGAGGCCTTGTTAGAAACAGATGTTTCTGGGCGACAAATATGGTCAGGTTTCCTCTGTGGGTCAGTTGAAGAATCATAACGTAGGCAGTAGATATTTGGCCATGATGGCAGTAAACCCTCTCTCATCTTTCACATATACTAAAGCAGCCTGATAGCGTGGCTCTCCTACCACTCTTTGATCTCCCCCTGTCTCTGTGGGTCCAACTGGATGATTCTGAGCTGGCCACAGATGTGTCTGTCTCTAGTCATGGGTCTGGGTGGCTTTTAACAGATCCCATGCGATGCTTTCTCTGGTTTTTTTTGGTACCGGGGATCGAACTTAGGTCCTTGCGCTTGTGGGGTAGGCGGCGGAACCACTGAGCTAAATCCCTGGCCCTCTCTGCTTTTTCTTGGTGCCTTATCCTCCTTGAGCTGTCTTTGGGTGAACCCAACACCCAGCCCTGTTCGATCAGCAACTGCCTCTGAAACACAGGCATTTTTTTCTTCTGTTCAGGTAAAGAGCAACAGAAGCAAGGCAAACACTTGATCCTGATGCAAAGTCGACCACGTTCATGCACTTTTCTGGTATTTCACCTTGAGCAAAATATTTAACTTCTTTGAGATTCAGTTGTTCCATCGGCAAAATCATCATAACATGCCAAAGGTAAGGCCCCAACCCAGATAACTTGACCTAAAACCTTCAGAACTCTACCATCTATGAGTCTCCAGGGACTTACAGGTGTCACTGATGCCTCACCCTTCTCCTGCAGCTCTGTTTCACTGTAGGTCTGGGGCCAAGATGCCAACGGTTTCCTCTTAGCCTTCTGGCTGATGCTGTTGGGACTCAAAGAACCCCATAAATTTCCTATAAACTAAGTCTGCCTCAATTTAGTTGAGGATTTTAGGGGCTTGGGGACAGTATGATTGAGAGGAGCCTGTGCTCTAAGAGGAACAGGCTCTGGGATATTAAACCACTGACTTCACCCCTCTTTATGGGCCCTTTGGACCCTGGCTGCTTGAGTAGTCACCATGTAACAGGTAGGACCCAGGCATGGCACAAGCATGCCTGTGCACACCCACTCATAGCATCTTGATGCTGACACATGACACTCCCATTAAATAAGCGATGGTGGTTCACCACAGACTGTGAGACACCATTGTTTCCTGGCAGTTGAAAGTAACTCTCAGTTCCAAAACGCACAGTAGAAAGGGGATCAAGATGTTAAGACCCAACGGGAGATTTATTTTCCCCTACTTTTTTCAACTAGTAGGTTTATTCCCTTTCTAGTCTGTCTGAGTAGACTTCACTCTCTCTACCATCTCTCTAGCTTGAAATACTTGTGGTCCACATAGAGGGGCAGAGCTTAACACAAAAGTCCTTGCTGGTATTTGAAGCAGGGGTGGGTGGGGAGAAAAGCCTGGAGACCCAGGGATGGAAGCATGCTCTTCTGTCCATAACCAAGCAACTGTGCCTGGAAGCCACCAAGAGGCACCACAGCCCAATACTGACCTGTCCTGTCCCAGAAGAGTCCAGAAGCTGAGGAAGAGAGTGCTTCCGGCCATCTCGGGAGACCTCCAGCATCCTGATTCGAGGGTCTCCATTGCGCACCATCAGCTCGTTATATTCTTCAACAGACTCTAGTCGGTGGACACCCCCTTGAAAAAAAGGTGGGGAAAATGTGCATTGATATGGGATGAGAAGAATCTTAACAGCACCCACAGGCATGAACTGGCTGCATTTACACACACATGCATAGTTTCAGAAGGCCTGGCATCCAAGACACCTAAAGCAGCAAGCTCACAGCGTCCTACCACCAAGTTCTGCACAAGCCCATTGTGTGTTGAGGCCATGAATGCCTGGCTATGAAGAAACTGCCAGTTTTTAAAGTGGCCAATTGGCTAAGGGGCAACAACAAATATATTTGATCCAAGTCAGATGTAGGTAGGGTGAAATAAATAGTAGTGAGCCATAAACAATAGTGAGAAAGCTATCAGCAGTGAGGGAGGAGTCGCACTCGGGTTGGTACAGTCCCATTGTTGGGCAGATGCCTTTTTTCCAATGTCCAGAAATGATGAATGGATAAAGAAAATGTGTTGTTTACACACAATGGAGTATTACTTTGCCATAAAGAAAGATAAACGAGTCATATGTAGGAAAAGAGATGCACTTTGAGACCGTAATGTTAAGTGAAATAAATCAAGACAGGCAAGCTTAAATATCACATGGTTTCTCTCATATGAGAAACCTAAAATATAAATACAGAGCAAAAGAAGACAAAGATAATAGCAAGTAGGGAAGTATATCTTTTTCAAAGGGAAAGGGGATGAAAAAATGAATTAAGATGTGTGGTGTACTGTACCAACTCCACACAAGAAATGTAAACATTATGCATGGCAAACATGTACTAATAAAAATATTTTAAAATAGTGTAAGGGAATAAAAAAACCTTCACATAAAATATAAAACTTATAGAAATGTGCATAAATGTTAACTGTACAATTCTCTCAAATTCCATACAATGAATGTGCCACTAATATCCAGATCAAGAAACAGAGCATTAAGCAGAACTCCCCAAGCTCCCTTTGTGCCACTGACTGACCCCTCCTGTCCCATGGTGCCCACCATCCTGACTTTCCATCCTGACTTTTTGCATTATACATTGCTTTTATTTTTGAACTTTACACAAATCAATGCATAGCATATGTACCTTTTTTTTTTACATCCAGCTCCTTATTCTTAACATTTGTGAAATTCAACTGTGCTGCTTGTGTGCCAACAGCTTGCTCACTCCCATTCTGTGTAGTACTTCACTGTATAATTGTACCACCATTTATCCATTCTATTGGTGATGGGCATTTGGTTTATTTCCAGTTTTAGATCTAGAATGAAGGCCAGCAAATGTGTGTGGTGTACTGGGGATCAAACCTAGCACCTCGCACATACTAGGCAAGCGCTGCAACACTGAGCTATCATCCACCCCTGCAAACTTTCTCACATGTTTTCAGCTTTGTGGGTCATGAACTGTCTTTTGTCTCCTCTTCTTCTTCCCTTTTCTTCACTTTTCCCCCCTTTTGCTCCTCTTCCTCCATCTTTTTTTATAGCCTCCTGAAAATGTGGAAAGTATTTCTAGCTTGCAGGCCGTACAAATATAGCCATGGGCTGTAGAATGCACTGTTACCAAATCTTCTTATATACATGTCAGTTCTGTCAGAAATACCTAGGCGTGGAGGTACTGACCACAGGCATCTCTTTACCTTTGCTGGTGACATCTCACCAGCATGCATCCTTCTCCACATCCTCCTCATGCTCGGCAATGCCAGTCTTCAAAGTTAGCTACTCTGGTGAGCACAGGATGGGGATCTCGCTATGGTTTTTCACTTGTCTTTCACTGATTACTAATTTCTGATGACAAGTTTCTTTTCATATATTCATTGGCTGTTTTTCTTTTGTAAGGTGTTTGTTCAAGTCTTCTGTCCATTGTTTTATTAGATTTCTGTCATTTTTTTGATGAATCATAGGAGTTTTTATTTATTTGTAATATTTTAAATTACAAATCCTTTGTGGAAACTATGTATTATAAATATCTTCTCCCTGTCGGTGCCTTACCATTTCACTGTCTTAATGGTATTTGTTGATGAACAAAATTTCATGGCTTTAATGTTGTACAGTGCAGTCATGCATAGCTTAACGACAGGGATAAGTTTTGAGAAATGTGTTGTTGGGCAATTTTGTGGTTGTGTTGGCATCACAGAGGGTACTTACACAGACTAAGATGGCTATGACATCACTAGGTGGTAATCATATGGGACCACAGTTTTATATGTGACCTATTTTTGAGTGAAACATTACGTAGTGCCTGAATAAATGTCACTTTTTAAATTTTATGGTTAATAGTTTTGCATCCTGTTTATTCTTGGCAGTAACAATTTTTAAAGATACCATTATCAATATGTAATTTATATTATATGCTATTTGAAAATAATTTAAAGAACTTTAATCTTAAGTGATGGATCAATTACATGTGAATATAGCTATAATTGCATTATACATATATATAACATATATTATATATGTTTCCTTACAAATCTCTATATAAACAGATTCTTCAGAATATCAAGGTCTCCTACACTATGTGATAATTCACTGATGACTAAAAATTTTAATCTACCTAAAAATTTCTTTAAAAGTTTTTCATAGCATAAAACAAGGTAATTTTGTGGTTTTTTTTTTTTTTTTTTGTACCAAGGATCAAACTTAGGACCTTGCACTTGCTGGGCAGGCAGTGGGACCACTGAGCTACACCCCTGGCCCAATTCCATACTTTGAAAAAGATTATACTGATGAGATTTTCATAGCAATGAAAAGTTAGAAGAGTGCTGACATAGTTATAATGGTTATCACTAAAGGCTTGGCTTTTCAAAAGCTAAATATTAACTTTGTGAAGCAGGTTTTTAAAATGTAAAATTCCTTTGCATTTTAAAAAGATTACAGGGCTGGGGATTTAGCTCAGTGGTTCCACCGCTTGCCTTGTAAGCAGAAGGTCCTGAGTTCGATCTCTGGTACCAAAAAGAAAAGATTACAAACCTAAGGGATTAATATAGATAAGTCAAAAGTACCAAAATTAAAGGGGAATCCTGCTAGCAAAAAAGAAGGTAATAAGTAAGGAAAACTGAGGTTAGAATAGCAGAAAAATCATCTGTGACATGACAGACCATGGTGTAGTCTCTCTGGAGCCAGCCTGGGCAAAGCCCTAGCAGAAATGACTGGAAACTCTTTACAGACACTCTTCAATAACTCATGACTTAATAACTCATGAGCACGTTAATCTCTCTTGGCATGCTTACTCATCTGAGAAAGATTTATTTGAAGAAAATTCCTTTGGGGCTGACAGAGAAGGACTTGTCATCAACAAGAGAAAAACCACACATGCACGGTAGCACCCACAGATAATACACTGAAACCTGAACATCAGGACGACTCATTAAAGAAAATCACGGCAAACATCCAGGTTTACAGGACAAATTAGGAGCCGATCACACAAAAGTCTCCTGCATGTAAACCTTCAGAGTGAACATATTTCACAAAACTAAAACAAGGCCCAATTCCTTAAGCTCTTTAATACATCTCCTGATTATTTTTGCGGTCTTATCTCCTACTGCTGGCTCTATGGATTTGCTGTATCCTGATGTCTGTCAAAAAGGATTTGTCCTCCTCCCCCTGACTGAAAAATCATGTGATTTAAAAATCACGTTTTGTCCAACTTTGCCTGCACTATCCTCTCCTACCCTCAAATTCTGTGTCTTTTCCCCCAATAACTCTGACAAGCTCTGAGTCACTACTGCTGATAGGTTACACTGGATCTTTCAAAAGGCCGAGGAGCTAAAAAAACAGCTGTCAAAAAGTTCTCTAAGCATCTTGGCCCCCACTGTCCCTAAAATCTCTCATTCACTTTGTCCCCAGTCTTAGTCCTTGCTCCCTCTTCTATCCTACTGACTCCTGACAGCGTCCCCACCCCCTTTACCTTCCGCCTCCCCTGAGCACTACTACCCGGGAGACTTCCAGACTTTGTACCTGTTGTGGGTGCCTCACTGTGGCTGCCCCTGTGCACACGTGTCGCCTCCCACTGAGAGGACAAGTTCTAGAGAAGCCCTTCCTGCCTGAGCCCATTCAAAGATGTTCCTCTCTCCAGAGGGAAAGAGGCAAGAACAGTAAGAATGAAAATGAAAATGCTGCTGCTGAACACAATGTTATGACAATAATGTGCTAACAGTGGCAGCCCCCACTGAGGTGAGGGCCTGCTGCTACCACAGTCTGGAGAGGCAGTACCACCCCATCTTGGAAGGCACTCCCAGCGGAACCAGAAAGCTCACAATCCTCATTTCACACTTGAGGGAGCTGGGACCCAGAGGCCACCTGCCCCAGCCATCTGTGCCACCCCGAAGTGGGGGAGCTGGGAACCAAACACAGTTACAGCTGATCCCCAAGTGTGCTTCCCTATTCTGCATTTCCTTCTCCCGGTCTTGGATGTCCTGGGTAGGCCACAGGAAGTGGCATCCCTTTGTGGCAAATTGTGGCCAGTCCTGGATTTTTTGATTCAGCCGAACATGCTGCTTGTTCTAAACTAATAGTATGGACACAATGAGCAAATCATACATCTGGAAGGTGCCTAAGCTACACCCTTGCCCTGCAGCTGAATCTAGGAGGCTTAAGACTGGGAAGAGAATTCTTTTCATGATCCCCGGGAAACAAAGGACAGGAAGGAGAACTCTGTCTGGGAGGTGGGTCCTTTTCCTGGCTTGGACTCAGGGGCCTTTGGGATTCGCTGAACTTTCAGCATTTCATCCATAAAATGAAGAATGTGATTGCATGGGTTTCAAAGGTCCCCGTATTTCCTCAGAGCTCTTGAGCTACTCTGAGAACCGGTTTATAAGGTGTGATAAAGTCTGTCAAAACAGCTGACCTCAGCCTGCCCTGTGCCCTGCGACTCCCTCCAACTCGGGACCTCTGCGTGTCCCTCTCGGGGTTCCTCAGGGCTGGAGGGGTGCTGGTCCCTGTCTCCAGGTGAGTCTACACAGCATCTCCATCCACCTCTACTCATCACCATCTCTCTTTGTCACAAATCCTTGTCTTAACATTTACTCAGAGGTAGCACTCACTGCTTAATCATTCTGTGTTAAATCGAAAAATAATTCATTGTTAGTTGGGTTTAAAAAGTGATGTATCTATGGCCCTGTACCTCCCATCCTAACTGAGAATAAACTCAGTTGAGGGCAGGGCCACGAGGGAGGGAGATGTGCTTGGCTGGCAGCCCGGTCACCACCCTCTCCACTGATTTGGGTGGTAGAAGAGGAAAATGAGTTTTTTGGATGTTAACATATTATGCATTATATTAGATGCTTTTATGTCATTAAAGACAGTACACCCAACCTTTCATGATATTACCTCCTTTTCTGTAGCGACAGAAGCAGAAGTTTAGGAGGTTAAAATCTAACCCACAGGCTTAACAGCATGCAGGAGCTGAAGGCTAAGGCTGGTTCTGCTGTGCCTCAAAGCCCTTGCTTTGCTTCCACCCCAGTTATTTCTTCTTCATGCTGGGGGGCACAATGCTAGGAGCCCATGCCTCTTCTGGAGACCCATGGAAATACCACTCCCCCGGTTAACTATTTTTTTAATGCAGGGAAAAACCTGAGCATAACAGTAATGAATAGATTAAAAAATACAGCCTGTGTCTTTATATCAACACAGCCATAAAGTACAATTTTTATTCTTCATGGAAGAAAGGACCCCTCAGGGAAAAAGTGCCTAGGTCACATGAAAGCCACAGTGTGTCTCCTGCAGGTCTCTCAGGCTCAGGTCAGTTGCTCTAGGGCAGTGATGTGAACCTTGTGGAGCTGTCAATGAACAAACAGACATCTGCAGCACGCGTGCCACAGGTTCGCCACCACTGCTCTAGGGAAATGCCCTGGAATATAGAACTGTGTTCTATATCCATTCATTTCAAAAGCTGCTGCGCCATCCCATCTTTTTCCTGCCTAGCTGAGATGAAGACTTGACATTAGATAAGTGGCCCCTGCCTGTTGTTCCGCTGGCTTGTGGGAAGATGGGCCACCAGGGGTCATCCCCACCGACGGGGTCACCTGAAATCTGACACAAATGAACCAGATATACGGGGGATCCTTGCTGCACTAGAGACAGAGATGCTGACGTTCATTTGGTTATGACTCACATAAAGACATACACATAGGCAGCTAGGCTTAATGGAGCTGTTCTGCCGGGAGCAGGGATCATGGAAGGAAAAACCTTTTGGAGGTTTTAAGGGAGAAAAAGGGCTCATCCCATCAAGGTGTTGTCTCCCAGCCCGAGGCTGGAAGCCGTCTGCAGGCAGGCTGCACCGGGCAGAGTCCCCACTTACCCGAAAGACGACTCTTGAGCTTCATTTTACTGCTGCCCTGTTTGGGACTTTGTAGGCTCCCCTTGGAATCCTCAGGGCCGCACACGTCTTGGGGCTCGTTGGTGCCGGGCATCTGCAAGACAGAGAGCACAGAGCTGATGGGACAGTTTTGTCCCAAGATAAGGGACGTTGCCCCTCCAGGAAGTTATCTCCAGGAGGCCCCGGGAGTGGGAGTTTATGTGTCACGTGACAGCAAGGCTCCCAGACCAAAGCACAGCCTTCAGGTCACCTGCAGCCAGACGCACACCTCCCTATCAGGCACAGCGCCTGGAAGGGCCTCCGGCAGTCGTATCTTTATTCCACTGAGAGGAACCTTGTCTCAAGGTCACCCAGGGGAGTCAGTGGCAAAGCCACAGCTAGAACCTAGGTGACTTGGCTTGGGAGTCAGTGCTTTTCTAAATTCAACTTGCAACAAATATTAAATCAGAAATTTAAACCCAATTTTAAAGTTCCTAAAATTTTAAGAGTCAAACTCTGATTGTGTGGCCGTCAAATAACTACAGGTGTGCATTACTGACCGATGGGGGTCTGTTCTGAGAAATGAGGTATTGGGGGATTTTGTCATATGCTGTGGAAATGGCATAGAGTGTACATAGATGACATGATGTACGTCAGTCACTTAGCATGGTCTCTGGATAACAATTAAGAGACCTGGTACTATAATCCTATAGCACTAGGGAGGCTGAGGCAGGAGGATCACCATGAACTTGAGCCCAGCCTTGGCTACATAGCGAGTTCCAGGCCAGCCTGAACTATACAGCGAGTCCTGTCTCAAAAATCAAGACAGAGAGAGAAAGAGAGAGACAGGCAGACAGAGGAGAGACAGAGAGAGAGACAGACAGAGAAGAGAGAGACAGAGAGAGACAGAGAGACGGAGAGACAGAGAGATAGAGAGAGAGGGAGGGAAACTATGGTAATCACAAGCCTAGGAGGTCATTGCCGGCATAGCTTGGCACATTTTTTAAACAGTAAACATTTTTTTAATAAGTGGAAAGAGTACAATCTAAAATAATGACAAAAAACATATATATAGGCCTGGGGATTTAGCCCAGTGGTTTCGCCGCCTGCTGTGCAAAAGCAAGGACCCGAGTTTGATTCCTGGTACCAAAAAAAAGAAGCATATATATAAATACATAAACCAGTAACAATAATTTATGTCAGGTATAGTGTACTGTACATGATTGTATGTACCTTTTTATTACTGCATGTTTGTAATACAGAATAGCAGTGTTAGTTTTAGGGACTTGGTACATGCATACAACATATCTTGATCATTTTCAACCCCTTTACCCTCCTGTGCCAAATTTTTATACAACTCATGGCACAGTTTTGTACACCTGCATCCCTACACCCATGAGCAATGCATGGCACTATGGTGTTCCTCAGTGACTGGAATTTTTCAGGTCTATTATAATCTGATGAGACCACTGTTGGATGTGTAGTTTGTCACTGACCAAAGCCTCACTGTGTGTCACACGATGGTTTCCCCTCAGTCCAACTCATGCTCCATGCACTACATTCCTGAGCACTGATTAAACACCTCCCAGGATTGAGGACTCCTGGGTTACAAGGTGTAGCCAAGAGGTGATGCAGAATGGTTAACCCCAAGGTTCCTTGGGTCCTCCAGCCTACAAAAGTCAAACATGTAAAAAACTGCAGTTATTAGATTGGAAAAGGATATGTTCATTTGAGTGTTTATTAAAAAATTAGTTGGGGGGATAAATTTACATGTACCAGACTTATGAGATGCATCAAACAATAAATTTTTTATTTGAAATTTCATTTTCCTTTTTAAGTTCTGGAGGGTAAAAAAAGCACCTTATATTAAAATATATAACATTCATCTGGATGTGGTAGTACATTTGTGAGGCTGAGGCAGGAGGACTCAATGTTTGAACCTAGCCTAGGCAGCTTAACATCTTAGACTCTGTCTTAAAATGAAAAATAAAAAGGGAGGGAGATGTAGCTGAGCGTGCAAGCCCTGGATTCAATTCTCAGTACCAGGGGAAAAAGCCGAAAGATAAGATTCATGCTAAGGAACACATACAAACTGTAAAAAAGACATGGACGATATCTTTTGACACCTAAAAATTTCCTAATCATAATGTAGAAAATCCCACCTGATTTTAATAATAAAATTACATATTGACTATCAAAGTCAGCGTGTAAAAATGTATAAAATAAGCAGTTGGAATAATCTCCCATGTAACTTCCCTTTTCTACGGTAATTATTTATATATAAATTTTATATATAATATATAAAGTTTGGAAGATTCCATCTCCTTCCTTAAGCTCAAGTATCTCTGTAGATAAGGAGGAGGAATAAAAGGTCTGAGATTGAGGAGATAGAGGCAAAGTTGAGGAAAAGGCATTGGGAAAATAAATTAATCCTGACACAGAAAACAAAGAGAACAAGTTTGCTGTATTCATATTACAATGTCAGCGACCGGCCGGTGTCCAGGGTGAAGTTATGAAGAACAAGCGAGAACAGAATCCTGAGGATTAGAGATTCTCTACAGAGATGTCTGTCCCAGCCCCAAATTCTGACAGTGAAAAAGGACCAGCTTTGAGATGGGCCAAGGACCTGAGCCGCATGCAACAAGGTGACGCACAAATCGAGCGATCCAGAGAGAATCCACAGGAAAGACCTCACGGAAAGAACTTGTCTAGACTGCAGACAGCAATCACTGGAGACCGAGTTAAGTCCCCAGTTTTCGCCGGATGTACCAACTGGTCCAGGCTGTTCACCTTCAGGGAGGCAGCCCTGAACTTGTGAGCCACTCCCTCCTTTGGTGCCCGCAGTGAGTGGTTTATTACACAGGGACTTGACCCAGTGCTTTGTACACCCATCGGCGATGCTCTTGAGGGAAGAGAATCAGCCTAGCCTCTGTTTCTGGACTTGGGATGTGTCTTCCTTTCACTTTGCCCTCTATTTCTCCCCACAGAGCCTCAGGTTTTCACAAAATTGGAGAAATTCTGCGACACAAGTGTTTACAGGAGTACCTGAGGAGGAAAGTGGGCTGCCTGGGACATTTTGGCTCATTACAAACAAGGCTGCAACTTTTTTTTTTTTGGAGGGGGAGAGGAGTTGGGACTAATCACGAATGGTGGAACAAATGAACACTTTAGTGATATGATACAATAAGAAAAAACAATCACTTCTGTGATATCCTTGCACAAAATGCAGGACATGAATTTAATCTTGAGGAAATATCACACAATTAAAACTTGAGGAAATATCAGACATCTAAAACATGAGGAAAATGCTACAAAAGAAGTGGTGTGTGTTCTTCAAAACCACAGATGTGAAAGACAAAGAGAAGGCTGAAAAATGATTGTAAAATCTCAAAAGCAATCACATCTACATGCAATATGTTTCCCTTAGTTGGATCCTAGAAAGGTAATATGGAGACTGAATAATCTCCAACAAAATTCATATGCTGAAATCTGTATCCCTAGTATAATGATAGTAGAAGATGGAGCTTTGGAAAATAATTAGGTTGTAAAGGTGAAGTCCTCTTGAGCATGAAGAGTGTCCTTATATGAAATGCTGGCAAAGTTTGTAGCCTTTTTGTTGATATATGATTATGTAAGAATATGGCTGTCTGTACCCTAGAAGAGAACCTTCAGCAGAACACAACTGTGCTGGCTTCCTGAGCTTAGACTCCCTAGACATCAGAAATGTTAACAATAAAATTACAGTATTTATGAGGCACTAGTCTATGGTATTTTATCATAGTAAACTACCTTAGAGGTGGTTACAATTCTTATCACTGTAAAGATTCTTATTGAGATAATTAGCAAAATGTGAACGGAGCCTATATGTTCTTCGGTAGTATTTTTGTTAATTTTCTGATTTTAAAGGTTATATGATTATCTTTATCTTTTAGGAAATACTTATTGAGACATAGAAGGATAAAGAGTAAACTAGCAACTCAGTATCAATTGTTTCAGAATATTACATACATGTATATTTACAGGTGCAAATGCACATAAGCTTATAAATATAGAGATGGAAGGAAGGGAGAGAAATGGAGACAAGGCTTCAACTTGATTCTCCATATCCTGACTTCTGGCTCCAAGGGTTACTAGAATATACCCCTCCCATCCGAAGGTGTTTTGGAATTTAATGAATGATATGGACAGTCAATACTGAGCAAGTATTTTTCCCACTTCATTTTCACAGCAAATATATATAGTGGTACTCTGATTCATGAACTTAATTTGTTCTACAATTTTAGAAAAGATGGCCACGTTTTTGTTTATGTGGGAAAAATAGCTGCGGTCATGTTTTTCACCTGTTGCAGAATTTGCAAACAAAGTTTTGCCAAATTGCTTCTGTTTGTGAACTGAACTGCTTGCAAACAAGAGTTTGTGAACCGAGGCAGCACTGTATAACAAGGTAAATAATATCTCTATGTGACACATGAGGAAATAAAACAGACCCTTATATAACATTTTGTTGCATATAACATATATCAGGGATCTAGGCTAGATAGTGTGTGAAGAAAGTAGGAATATACAACGAGTGACGTTGAGTTATATAAGAGCTTACATGCACTATGTCAAATCTAAAATCCGTAAGGTATAAACAAAAGTGCTGTAAACTTTTATTTTCAGAAGCTGAGGCAAGTGGTTTAAAAGCCTTAAAGAAACAATTTTTTTCTTAATCCCCTAGTGCATCAAAGAATGAAATGAGATTTAATTTCCATGATCTACAAAATGCCAGTAAGATTTCTAATGCCAAAGAAATCTTATGATAAAGACAGCATTATGTTGCTACCCTGTGGCTAGAAACAAAGTGGGCCTGGAGATATCTCAAAGTATTGCAAAGGGTGCAGTGCTGAGCTACAGGCAGGAGCAGAATCTTACTTCAGGGCTTCAGGAGCGGGGGTTCTTTGCTACTCATCATGGAAGGTGGAGGGACAGGAGAATGTGAGGGAGCAAGAGGAAGAAGAGGCCAGACTTGCTTTTATAATAAGCCCCTGATCGCAATGACATTCAACCATTCGCAAAGGCTCAAATGCCCTCTTATTACATCCCCCGACAGTGTTGCATTGGGAATTAAGTTTC